GCGCGCATGCCTGCGGGAGGTGGTGATATAGTCAAGGCACCTCTGCTAATGCTGTTGCAAGAGGACTGAGTAAATAAAACTCAGGTGTGTCCACTGTGTAGGTGTGCTGCTGTTGGGCAGCTGTGCCAGCCTCTGCTCAGCAAACAGCTCAGAGGCTGTGGTCGTCCTGCGCAGTGTGGCACCGGGACAGTGTTACGCCACAGTAACGCGGGTGTTTGCTGGAGTTTACCTGAGCAGGTGTGGTCATATAGTAAAGAGAAAGGCATTCCCATCAGCTGTTTTAGTGATGCTGCTTAGCGTCTGGGGTATAACCCGTGATATCTAGTACTAGAATGGGTGAGCTATGTTTTCTGTCCTCCGCAAGGAGACACAGCAGAAAGCTGTAAATAGTTGTGCCTGCTGTTGCAGTATTGCCACTGATGTGCTAAGAGTCTGTGTCACTGGTTCACATCTGTGTTTCTTTGGTGGTGGATGGCTGGCAGCAGATTTGGGTTTTCTGCCTTACTGAACAGAGACAGTCCGTGTCCATTTTTGCTTCCTCCTGCTCCCTAGGTAGCTCAAGTCTCCTTAAAGAAGGGCCTTTCTCCTCTTCCTGTGGAGAATCATGAGTAATGCTGCAGGATGCCAGTGCTGTCCCAGAGGGATCACTCCCAGCAGTGTGATCAGTGGCTAGAAAGACCCTAGTAACATCTGTAGGGGTAAAATATGCGTAAGGTTGCATGTGCAGCTTGGCAGTGCACCCATGTGTGCAAATTCTCGTACCCCTCAGCTGCACATAGCAAGCGCTTAGAGAAATATTTCACTTCTGCAGTTTCCTCATGATCAAAAGAGTTCCTGTGAAGCTAGTCAGAAACTTTGCTGAGTGTTTTCTGATCTTCCACAGGTAAAGGTTGTGGATGAGCAGAAGTATCGGAAGTTGTTTGAAGACATCGTTCGACTAATGGACAGAATGGAGAACGACTTTCTTCCTTCGCTGGAGCTAAGCAGGAGAGAAGTGAGGATGAAACCTGAATCGCTGTCCGCTTCCCAAACAGAGCAGCCTTAGAAGTGCTAGAACTGCTTTTAAAGTTGTTGATTCAGTAAACTGTATTATAGGAAATTGAACTTTATTCATTATCTTATGATCAGGAGTTGGATTAGAAGAGACGTCTTGGCTGCTTGGCAGGTCTTCTGTTAGGAGCTCTGCCTTGTGAGGGCGCTTCTCAGTGACAGGTTGCCACCACAGAGTCCAAATGCCTGTCTGTGTGTCCCATCGCGGCCACTAGCGTGATTTGTGTTTTCTCTTTGCTCTGCAGTTTGAGTTTGAGAATGTGAAGTTCCGTCAGCTGCAGAAGCAGAAGTTCCAGATCACCAATAACGGGCAGGTCACCTGTCACTTCTCCTTCATCCCAAAGCTCAACGATACCCACTACTGTAAGCCGTGGCTCCGCGCTGAGCCTTGTGAAGGTTACTTGGAGCCAGGTGAGTTTTACCATGGTTTCTGCAGTGTGTACACAACTGCCACCCCATCTCTGTTCAGTTCTTCCCATCTTTCCCCTGTCTCACCTTTCTTGCCATCATCCTTGTCTGTTTGTCATCTCGGTTTTGTGGCCATTGTCCCTGCCACTGTATGTTTGTCCTTGTCATACCTTTTGGAGAGTGTCTACGTGTTCTTAAGGGCTCCTGTCTGTTGCAGATGAGAGCACGGACATCTCCCTGGACGTGTATGTCAGTAAGGACTCGGTAACCCTTCTGAACTCTGGCGAGGATAAAATTGAGGATATTCTTGTCCTTCACTTGCACCGAGGGAAGGACTATTTCCTTACCATCAGTGGGACCTACCTGCCCAGCTGCTTTGGCACCTCCCTGGAGGCCTTATGCCGAATGAGACGACCGATCCGAGAAGTTCCAGTCACAAAACTCATTGACTTGGTGAGTAGCAGCATTCTGGAGCAGGTCTCTGAACAGGGAGAGAGCACGTTCCCTTCTGTTTACTCCTAAAAGCAGGAGTAATGCCTTCAGCTTGGGTCAGCTGTGCTGGCTCTGAGCTGATTTACTTTTTCCAGAGCTTGAGCTGCTCTGTTGTTTCCCTCCACCACAGCCAATCGCTTTTGACAGCCTGTACTTTATCCCCTATTTCTGAGTAGGTTCTAAATATTGTTTGGTGGGACAAAAAGGTGATCCCAGCACCTCGTGTTTTGTGTTACTGCCATGTTGGTGCTGGCAGGCTCAGCTGGGTGGCACTGGTGTGTCGGGAGAGTGTTACTGCCATGTTGGTGCTGGCAGGCTCAGCTGGGTGGCACTGGTGTGTCTGAAGAGCTCTCCTCCGAGGTGCCTAGGCTGCTTCTGCAGTGACCAGGGCTCCAGCATCCTTTTCCTTCTGGACGCTTGTGGCATTCACACTGCTCAAGGGAAGGAACGAGCAGAAGCAGGAGGACCGAAGAAAGGACTTTGATGCTGTTAAGTGTACTGCTGGGTACGGCTCAGCAAATGGCCAGTCCCGCAGCCTTTCCGGCCAGTTCCTCTCACACCGACTGCAGTGAGCCAGCGCCTCTGCGGTGCAGAGATAACCGTTCCTCTCCCCAGGCTCCACCGGCCCCTAGCATCGATATTCATCGCTCTGAAGGATGTGTGCGTGTGAGGGGGTGCAGTTGTGCCCTAGTCACCTTTTGTCTTTTTTGGTATCTCATGGCTGTTTCTGAGATTAAGCCCCATTTTGGGGATCTTATTTCTTGCTTTCAGCCTGCGTTCATTCCTCTCTTCTGATGGCCTTTCCTGGCCTTGCGTCAGTGAGGTTTAGCAGTTCCCGAGTTTTAACCTATTTAGCTGTTCTTGTTTAGCCAGGAAAGCCATTTCTTTTTGCTCACCTGAGAGATTAGCCCGGTTCTTTTAGTCTCGCCAACATGTGATACCTTCCCTCTCATCTCATCCTTACATGCATCTTTTTTGTCCAGTGAGCTGCTGCTTTTTTACATCTGTGGGTTTGGCGGTGTCCGCTCCCATCTGCTTACGCTTCTTTCTCTTCCCTTTAGCAGGTGCAGTGTGCCTCTTGCTGCCTCTTCCCGTTCCCACCTTTTGTTTTAGGTGTCCGCTTTTCTCACAGGCCTGACGTACAGAAAGGCTGTTGTTATTACAGCAGAATTTGGATTTTGTAATCACAAGATCAGGCTAAGCAGAATCGAGGGGCAAGATGCCTCCTCAACTCAAGCAGCTAATCCAGGCCTCAGGCTCTTCGTACTTTCCAGGATTCGACTGAAAGTCAGTCTTATTCTAGAAACGTGTTGAACTCGGTCTGAAGCGTTTCATCAGTCTTGGTGGCTTTTCCACCTGCTTTTTCCTGCTCAGTACTGACTTCTTGTTTGATAGACAAGAACTTGGGCCTGGACTCTTAGCTTCTGCCCTCACAGACACCCACTATTACTTTCCTAAGAGTACTTCGAGGCTTCTTGTGCTTCCTTTACCTGTAGGTTTCCTTCTGTTATCCAGTGAAACACGTAGAAGCACAGGAAGCAAAACAACGGGGGAAGAGCACCCTGTCCCAGTATCTGCAGCAAAGAAAGTGTCTCTTGTGGCAGTGAGGTCAGTGCGACTGCAGTACTTCCATCGGAACACGTTAAGCAAGCTCAAGGAATACGATGTGTAACGGCCCAAAGCAAAATTTAGTTGCTGAGATTAGAAAGCTACTGTCAGGTTAGAGCTATTTTAGGTCTTTGGTTTTGATCATACCTGTGAGTTGAGAAATTCTTGGAGACAGGACAAGCGGAGCACTTTGTGCAAGGGAGAGTGGCGCAGGTGCCAACCACTCTGCAGCCCAGACGCATTTTGGTCCAGTTACGTGTATTTAGCTGATGTTTAGACTGTGTGTGAGGAAGGCAGCGTGTTTGTGTATTAACAACCATTTTCCCTCCTGCACTTGGGTAGTGTTAGGGCTCGTCATTCACTGCATCAAGCATTTTTCTCAGCCGTGGCGAGACTGTATCTGTTGGCTTCGGCAGAGGGCGATCAGGAGAATGCAGGTCAGTAAGGGTGTGAGAGGCGGTTTGATGCAGGATAGCAAAGTGTAGGTGGGAGCTTGTTTGGAAATGGCTCTCCTAGTTCTCCCGGGAGAAGCTGCCGACACGAGCATCTCGCCTTTGGGATTTCGGTATTAGTGTCTCATCCTATTTTTTCCTTGGGATCTTACTGCGGGCTTTAAAAAGCCTCTTGAAGAATCTTTGTCAGGAGCAGGTTCATCTCACGGAGCTAATTGTGCTGAACGCTACAGGAGGAGAGGTGAACAGCAGGGCAAGCAGTCAGGTAGGTGGTAGTGAGACTGTTGAGATGACTCACCCAGTTACGAAACGAGCCTCTCCTGTGCATCGTGGCTATCTGGCGTCCCAAACCTGTGACTGCTGGCCCTCCCCCTGTGCCTTGGAAGAAGAACCTGCGCCAGCTCGTGTTTGGAGCAAGCTGTTCCCTGCAAGAGGCCGGTCTGTTGTGGCTGTGTTAAAACTCGGTGAGCCTCCAAAGGAAGCAGGCACTGCAGAAGCCGCAGAGGATCCCGAGATGCCGCTCCCTCCCAGGCATGCCCTGTGCCATGGCGGCTGCAGCTCTGTTTCCAGCTCAGCCCTTGAATGCGTTTCGGTTGCTCCCACCCTGAAAAGTCGATCCGCCAAAACTCAGCTTGGGCAACCTGCTTCTGTTTCCTCCTGCGGACTCCACTAAGCAGTGTGGTACGCTGCCAGCCTGCGCTGCGCTGGTGAAGGGATGCTGTGTTTCAGCGTCGCCGGAGGGATTGGACGTACAGCCTGGAGGGGGCTTTGGCATGCTCCTCCTTGCAGTGGGTTAATGCTATTAGGTTGAGACAGCCGAGCAGCCTGGGGTTTTGAGCACAAACACTCATTTCCCTGACTATACACAAAGCTGCTTAGGGGGCCTGTTGGCTCCGCAGCTGCCACACACTCCGAAATACAGATTTAGCCTAGTGAATGTTTTATCTCTGGCCTGGTCACAAGGGAAGATGGCTGAAATAATACGGGGATATTTATTTCTGACCGGGAAGATTCAAGAAGGGGAACTTCTTCCTGGCGGACACCTCTCATCTGCCTGTGGCCCGACTGTGTGCCTAGATAGCGAACAGCGCTGCCGCAAGGCCCTTTGGAGGAGTTTGGAGAAATCCTGACAAGGTTGTGCATCATGTGAGCGGGATTTTTGCTAATTGGCAGGCAAATCTCTCACCGCAGGTTTAACTTTGGCCATGTCAGCAAAATGTGTGAAGGACCTGGCATTCAGCGGGTTCTTGTAATGCAAATTAGGTTTCTGCTAAATCTGACAGTACTTCCTTCTCTTAACCATACTTTTTCCTCTTCTCTCTTTCCCACTGCTCTCAGGGAGAAGACAGCTTCTTAGAAAAGGTAACGCAAGCAATTGCTGGGGAAGTCTGCTTCTCAATGTCTTGTTTGCAAAGGATGAGAGATTTCCCCATGTTTCATGCTGAAGAGGGGGGGGAGGTGGGTGCAGGAGGAGCACTGGTTCCACCAAAGCCTCTTAGCACAGCTGTGGGCCGGACGAGAACATGTAGAAGCACCGAGTGACCCCGTAGCCAAGATGGGGCCCAGCCCTTAAAGCTTAAAGCTCACCAAATTTACTTCAGGGGGGAAAAAAATTCTCTCCTGATCCTGGCAGCGATGATGGATATTTCCAGAAACGCTTAGCAACCTTTGATGTGTGTGAATTAGCTCTAACCATGCAGATAAGGTGGGGTTCACCATAGCACCCTCTTCAGACATGCGGGGAGAGGGCTGAATTAGAAAACCAGAGTACTTTGCTCTTTCCATCTTGGTGTGTCCTTAAGGAGGCCGAGGAAGGGCCTTGCGTAGGAGACAGATGTTCCTCTGCTTCCCCGAGCAGCAGAGCTCGGGCTGCCAGCTCTCCTAGCCCCCGATGCCTGAGCAGCATCGCTGCTTTGCTTTGCGCTTGTGCTCTGCGCTGGAGGCCAAGCGAGTCAAATCTGTCACTCGAAGAGCTAGTGGGAGATGCTGGGGGTGTGCGGCAGCGCTGCCCCCGCTCTGCCTGCGCCGGCTCAGGCTCAGGCGTTTGGTAACTCGTTTGAGCTGGCTCTGTGCGGGCTTCCTGGGCTGGGTGACTGGTCCCTCTGCAGGCTGTCAGTGCGGTGACAGGGTAAAACAGGAGAGGGAATGGACGTGCCCTCTCCAAGAGGGGATTGAACTCGGGTGTTGAACCAGATAAAGCTCCCAGACTCCTTCCTAGCAGCAGGGGAGGGAGGAGTTCGGTACCTGCCTCCTGGGAACACCCGTTAGCAGAACATCTTCCTTCCCGCGGAGAGGACACGGACCTGCCTCCCCTTCCTCGCACACGGCAGGAGAGGGCGCTCGGTGCCCGGCAGATGCACAAGGAAACCGAAGGCCCAGCGCCGCCTCCTCCTCCTCCTCCTCCTCCTCCTCCCCCGGTTCTTAACTGTTTCCCTGCTGAACTCTCCGGCCGTGCAGCCTGGCAGAGTCGAGCGCTGCTCTGGCACTCGGCTCCAGTGCTGCCATGCCCGGGCGGGGGAGTTTCTCTTGAAGAGCCCTTAGCTCTCCAAGAGGGTCCACAGCTCGCACCTTTCCCCTTTTAGAGGAAGGTGGTAATGCGCTTGCCTAACATGCGGCATCCAAACCTTCCTTGTGTGCTTGGATGAGTGAGGCAGATGTGTAGCCGCGACCCAGCGTCTGCCAGCTGGGTAAAACCGAGTGGTGTGCGGGGCAAAGCAAAGCTCTGCCGTGCTGCGGGGCAGGGGTGGCCGTTGCCTGTGCTGGCAGGGCTCGTGCCAACCTGAAGCGTCTCTGGGCGTACCGGGGGAAGGCGAACCCTGCCCCAGCTGGCGGTGAGTGACTGTGTGTGCTGCAGAGGGACAGCGATCACAGTTGTCACGTAAGCCGACAGCTGAAATGAAGCGCTTTGCGTTTGGCTTGTGGTGCTCCTCTCTGCCGGTGTCCTTGGGTTGTGTTCCTGCTTGTGCCGGGCGCTTCTGCTGAATGTGCTTCAGGAGAGCTGTGCATGGCTTCCTCTTGACAGCACACAGGAACACCAGCGATTGTAAAGTGAGAGTAAAATCAAGCAAAATACACTGATCCCCTTAAAGATGGGTGTGATGGAGATTCCTGAGCAGTTGAGCTCGTCAGCTGCTCTGCATGAGTAAGTGGGAAAACGTGGCAGTGGTGTCAGGGGAGCCTGCGCTCAGCAGACACCGCTCCTTAGGAAAATGAGGAAGGAAACTTCAGGAAAGTGGCCTGGTTCAGAGCCCGGCGGGCAGACGTGGTCGGAGCACGCAGGAGTCGGGCAAGGCATGTCCTTGACTCTGCGTCCAGAGGAGCTCGGCGGGATGAGCGGGGCGCGGTGGCTGCGTTGGACCCGAAACGCGGAAGGAGTCGTCAGGCTCCGCTCCTCCAGAGCGTCGGCTGCGGGGCGCCGGGGGAGCTGTGGTTCGGACAGGCCGTCAGCCAGCGGGAGACCCGTCCTGTGGGAGCTGGTGTGGCTGGGGGGAGCTCCTCCGAGGCGGGCTGAGACCGGGTGCTGCAGTTTCGTGGTGGACCGGGCGGGTTGTTCCGTGGGGCAGCGGGGGGGAGCGGAGCCGGGACCTACGGAGCGATGGCTCTGTGCCGGAAAAGCAAGGAAGGGCCGGTTGGGTGCTGGGTCCTGCTTCTTCCCCCCTCCAGGCTTTCTTTACCGAGGCCTTTCCAGAGGGACTGAGCTTTCCCGGAACCTTTGTGTGCTCTTTGCCACCAGGAGAAATCCGTTCTGCAGATGGGCTCCCTGGACAGTGAGGAGCCGAGTGGGATGCCGCTGCAGGTGCCCAAGGAGATCTGGCTCTTGGTGGACCACTTGTTCAAGCATGCCTGCCACCAGGTGAGGGAGAGGGCCTCTGCTGTGCCGGGAAGCTCTGGAGAGCTTGGTGACCTGTTTCATCACTGGCACCTGGAGATCACCTCCAGTTTGGTATTTATGGGGCAGGGCTTTTCCCCTGCGCTTGAGGCACTGGCCGGGGCTACCAGCTTCCACCCTGCTCTCGCTGTGTGCCTTTGCGAGGAAGGTGACTTTGTCCATCCCTGTGCTGATTTTGGCAGGAGGACCTGTTCCAGACTCCAGGCATGCAAGAAGAGTTGGAGCAGATCATTGACTGCCTGGACACCAGTATCCCCGAGAAAATCCGTATCCTTGCTGCACCCGCCTTTCCCAGGAGCCTGCTGGGCCTCCGCTCTGCTGGGAGAGCTCCCTCACGGGAGAGCTTGTCTGCGAGCTTTAGCTGGCAGTGTCCCTCCTGGGGGGTTGGCTTCCCTCTGCCCCCCAGAGATAACCTCTTGTTATGGTTTGAGGAACCCACAACAATTTATTGTCATTTAGACAATTATTCTCTCACCCGATGACCCCTCCCCACCCGGGAAGGGGAATCAGGAAAGAACAAGGAAAGCTGAGGGTTGAAATATAAACAGATTTAACAGGATAAGACCCGATAATTAACATTAATGACACTAAAGAACCGATATTGACCCCGATACCAATGTAAAACCCAGAGGGATTCCCCTCAGCCCACTCCGTCGGTAGGAGCCGTGCGCTCCCCGCAGTGACAGCCCATGTGGGACCCTGCGAGCGCTGCGGCTTCGGGAGGAAGGGACGGGCTGAGGGCTGCGGCACCGGGGCGAGGAGTTCTCGGGATGGCAGCCGTCACGGGGGAGAGAGCTCCTCAGCAAACTTCCGAATTGATATGGGATGTGCCGCTCGTGGCATGAACGAACCCTGTTGGGCAGCGTGGGCCAAGTGCCCGGGTCTCGCTCCTCCTCACCCCCGCACCCGGCGAGCTCGAAAACACCGAGACCTCGAAACCCGCACCCCATCGCTGGCTGTAAATGAGTATTTTCACC